TATGCTATCAGATCCTCACATCCAGAATCTCACAGCCAAATCGTCATCTATACATCAATCTGCATCTTTACACGTACGTTTATTCACATCCTGAGGCCAAAACTCACCTAGACCCTGGCACGCACATGCACATGCATACATACCAGACTAGTACCCACACCCACACCCACACCCACACCCACACCCACACCCACACCCACACCCACACCCACACCCTAGTGAGAGATGTTTTATTGTTACTATGTGTGATTGTATCGTGAAACATTGTTTTGCGTCCGATAAGAGGCGATGCTGCATTTTGGCAAGAAGGAAAGAATTTTTTCTTCTACTTTTACCATTGAAAAAGCAGAAGGTAACGATAAAATAATATTTTTGTTTTGACGTCGAACGACGCCCTGTCATCAATTGCTTACGCTTTTTACGATGCACAGTCGTTAAAAATCCAATAACACATAGCAGAACGATGCGATGATGTTACATCGATTCACTAACGTTGAGGTTGTATGTATGCTTGTGGGTGTGAGTTGTGCCAACGACTGTGTGGGTGGGTGTGGGCATAGATGTGTCTATGCGGGTCAGTTTGTGTGTGTGTATGTGAGTTTGAGTGTGAGTACTAGTCTGGTATGTATGCATGTGCATGTGCGTGCCAGGATCTAGGTGAGTTTTGGCCTCAGAATGTGAATAAACGTACGTGTAAAGATGCAGATTGATGTATAGATGACGATTTGGCTGTGAGATTCTGGATGTGAGGATCTGATAGCATATGATTGGGAAGGTTAGCACATGAGTACGCGAATGGATGCTCCTGCAACGACTTGAGTGTGATGAGGTCGATATGGGCACCAGTACGGGAGGAAATGTTGGTACGTGCCCCTCTTATGCTATTGAAAGGCGGCAAGCCCCATCTTATGTGCGCACTACGCCACCCACACTGAGATTGCAATCCCAAACTCGTTCAAAAAAACAATCACAGTCCCAAAGCTGAATGGGCGACGACATCCTCGTAGCCCTAGTCACTTTCACACAGACAAAGCTACACGAGTACTTCAGGATATAGAAGTCCCCTACAAGCGAGTCGCAAATCCGCATGCACACACGTCAGAATAGGCAAAATTTGTTAGAAAATAGTTTGTCAATCGATTCATTTCAGTGTTTTCTGGTTGCCAAATTTTTCTTCAACGTTCTGATACTCTGTGAACTACGGTGCCTGTACCTCACGAGGTTTTCGTTTGTCTTTTATCGCTGCTTTTTTACTTGGCAACAAAATTTTAATTTCATGAAGGTTTGAATATCGGCCTTGTTGGTCATGAGGAACAGCCAGAAAAACATACTTTGAGGAGAAGTGCATTTTATTCTTACTGTGAGCGCTTGTGTCGTGAAATATTGTTTTTCGTCTGATAAAAAGCGATGCTGCACTTTGATAAGAAGGAAAGAATTTTTTTCCTACTTGTACCTTTGAAAAAGCAGTAGGTAACGATAGAACAATAGTATTTTTTTTTTGACAGTGAACGACACTCTACCATCATTTGCCTGTGTTTTTTTAGGGTGCGCAGTTGTTAAAAAAAACCGAATTGCACAGAACAGAACGACGCGATGACGTTAAATCGATTCGCTGACGTTGACTATGGAAATAAGAGACTCCCACCTGTCTATGGGTATTGGAATCATCCTATCTGGTCATTCGAAAAGACACTTGATCCGATCAGGTCTCAAATAAACCAACTGGATCGATACGCTAGAGTTGCCAAACAACACTGTCATTATCCATCGGAGCATGGCCTTACTCGTGATGAATCAGCTGCTGTATATTTGTATTCGATGGAATGGGGCGATAACAGTTTCTATCAAGTTTTGAATAGAACACTACGACTAGAAGATAGAGCTGCCCTCAAACCATGGTTTCCTTTTCTCAAACTTTTTGATTCAGCGCTTGAAAAATTGCCCGCTATGCAAAAGAATGTCTGGCGAGGTGTACCTCAAGATATCAGTGAACGTTTCAAGGAGAATGACGAGATCACTTGGTGGAATATAAGCTCTTGTTCATCTACAGTTAGTGTGGTCAAGAATTTTCTCGGTCCAAACTCGACTCTTTTCTTAATCGAGAGTGTCAATGGCAAAAACATTTGTGAATACGCAAACTATCCTGATGAAAAGGAAGTAGTGCTTGTACCGGGAACTCGGTTGCGTGTGGAGAGCAACGCATTGGATCATTCTGGTGGTTTACATGTAGTGCATTTGCGGGAATTGACTGATGATTCAGAAACAGAGATAACATCGCATATGACTGACTTACAATTGGATAAAAAGTCATTTAAAGAAAACGCATTTGGTAAGCTAACTCAAATACTAGCATTCCAGTTAAAACAGCAGTAAGAAGTTTTTCCCAAAGATTCATATTAATGAAGAGAAAGGAGTAGGAAATAATTTCGCCGGCTCAATAACTTGGTAGCAAAAAGACGGGGACATGTAAAAGGTCCATAGCCCCCCCCCCCCCCCCCAGCTTTGAATACATAGTTGTCCACTCTTACCATGCAGCAATTACTACTCCATCCCAAATTTTCGAGAAGTAACGTGCACCGATAATTGATTCACTTGATATTCGACTGATCAGATTGAGAAATACTTATTGGTGCATGTAGATTTCAATTTGATTTAAGCCTGGTGCTAGATAAATGAAAAAGATAAACTCGTGGGTGATAATGTGATGCTTTACATAACCAATTTTATCTTGATATAAAGCATAACTTTCATGTTCATAAAGAAAACTCGAGTGTGGGTGTTGGTGTGCGTGTGGTTAGAGCAAGACTAACACCCACATCCACATGCTGAGACTATAAGGGGATAAGGCTTTAAATGGGAAGACTATAACAGAGAAAGATTATTAGAGGGAAGAATATGATGGAGTAGGGCTATAAGATAAGAAAGCTATAAATGAGTAAGATAATAAGGAGGTAAGACTACAAAGGTAAAATCTATAACGGAGGAAGACTATTAAAGGGAAGACTATGATAGGATAAGACAATAAGGGATAAAGATATAAGTGGGTAAGGTTATGAGGGAGTTAGGCAATAAGAGAGATAAGGTTACAAGGCGATAAGGCTATAAAGGGGTAACACTATACAGTGGTAAGGCTATAAAGGAGTAAGGCTATAATGAGTAAGGCTATAATGAGTAAGGCTATAAGCGGGTAAGGCTGCAAGAACTATAAGGCCATAAGACTACATGGGCTATTAGCGATATAAGGATATCATGCGGTAGGACTTCTATGTACATAATGTTGAGTATTTGTGTATCTGCTACCGAGTGAAAGGTTAAAGGTTTGTGGTCCTATGATAAAGAAAAAAAAAGCTGCCGTACAATATGCACGGATTCCCACTAGTATATCAAAACGGCCGGGTGTGAATGTAGAGGTATGAGTATGGTGGATGTGGATGTGGATATGGATGTACTTTTTTATCGGTGTATACCAACTGATGAATGTGGGTGCAGATTTAATTATGGATCAGCAGAAAATCGTATGGTAATACAGATAAACATTGAAAATCACACGATCACGCCATACCCAACTCCATCCATAGTAGTCTCCTTCAAGTTGTTTTAGTCGCCATTTCTTTTTAGTAAACTCGGGTGACTTAATATTTTGGATTTCACTATGGTTTGACTACAACTTTCATTAGAAATAGCTGAACAAAAAAGAACCAACATTCTCGGTAACCGAAGTTCGTCCTCTCATGGTTTCACTCTTAGGACCTTTGGGAAAAAATTTGATTTACTGCCCCTGTCATCAGGTGTTTGACTACAGCCATTCGATATATGGAAAGCTTTCGCAGCATGCAAAAGCATAGAAATGCAAATATTTATACTTAACGAAGAGTCAGAAAGAGAAACTTGAACTATAACCACAGTCAAATGTTTTTTTCAATAGCTTGTACGAGCTTGCAGTCCTTTCTAATATCCACAATTAGAAATAAATGAGAGAAAACTCATGAGAGCACGAGAAATCTATCGCTGGTGGTACTCTATCTTCTTGAGTCTTCGAGGATTGGAATCATGTTAGGCTGAAACCAAATATAAACTCCCCTATATTAGAAGACGCCCCATAATAGAAGACCTCCCTTGGATAAATGAACCAAAGACATATTAGAAGACCCCCCTGATAAAATCGACTTTTTTTACAAATAATTTCTGGAGTTTATTAGCTTTTTTAGTATTTAAGTCCATAATTGTATCTTAGGTGAGAATGAACAATATTTTGCTTCATTCATGAAAATGATCGATCAGTTCGAAGTAAAAAAAGTCTTGCGAAACGATGAATCGGAAACAACTGTTTAGCAAAGAATATATTTCTTTATAGAACACATATCATGGAATCTTTTCAGGGCTCTTTTGCAGCATTTTCAGAAGGAATTTTTACGGTTCTCTACACAAAAAGCTTCTCATGGTCTTGAGTTATAATGAACTCAATGCAGAACCGTGGATGTAACGCATGAAAAGATCTTTGTAAAATAGTAGCATATTAGATGAAACTTCGTTGCGTAACAATTATAAAGCCTAATTATCTGGAATTTCTAGAAATTCTGAAACATACTCATCACAAAGCATTCTTTCATAATTGAAAAGAACGTGAATCCATGGATATACGTTCAAGACAGAAACGAATAAGAAAATTTCGATTCGGCAATATCTTCGATCGGATTTAGTTCGCCTCAGACAAATTCAATCGAATAAGATTATTTGACAATTCGATTTGGTTTTGGTCTCTAATACGCATCGGTTTTTTGTAAGTACTTCTCATGAGACTCAGAACGCATTTCTATTCTCAATAAAACCTGAAGTCAATTTAAAAAAAAAGACCAAGAAGAAAACACAAAATGTGTATCCAACTACTCTGTTTTTTATTAATTACTCATTTTTAATACAAATGTACTCACCGAAGTTGGTTTGAGACTTATAAATATGGTATTAGTAGATTTTCATGTGAACAGATTCCATCAATACTAGTTAAAAATAAACAAGAACAATACATTTAATTGGTTTGACAAAACAAGTTAATTTTTTTTCTGAATTGTTTAGTTATTGAGAAGTTAACATTTGGTCAATGGTAGCTCTTATTTTTTAGGAAAAAAATGCTAGTGAACATTTTACCAAGGTGTTCGGATGCGTTGTCTTTAATATTCTAAGAATATTTGTTATCAATGATTGACTCTCTTTTTTCACAGGATAACATTTGTTACTTTCTCGTCATACACATGTCGAATAAGTAAAATACTATTTTTCTAACGATTATATTGAACAAAAATCAAATGAAACAAAAATTTGTTGGCAAGACTGCTGAAAAATATAACTTTTTAGGGGACATAATAGAAGACTCCCCCCCCCCCCCCCCCCTATTCATTGGCGACACAACAGAAAAAAAAACGCCGCGGCTGCTAGTTTGTCGGGGGTGGTGCACATAAAAAAAAATACTTTCTCGTCAC